AAAAGTAAAGTGTGCAATTCATTGGCTTTTAGCATATTCACGAAATTGTGCATCTATTACCACACCAATTTTAGAACATTTTCATCAGCCCAAAAAGATACCCTGTACTCCTTGACTGTCACCCCCTGCAGCCTCCCTATGCCACCCCCAGCCAAGGGCAACTATTGACCTGCTTTCTGTTTCTATTCATTTGCCTGTTTTGGACATTTCATGTAAAGAAATCATACAATATGTGGTCCTTTGTGCCTGGCTTTTTTCACATAGCAGAATATTTTCAAGGTTCATGTATATTGTATAAGTAATCCATGTATCAGTAATTCATTTCTGTTGATTATGAAGTAGTACTTCATTGTATGGCTAGACCACATTTTATTTATCTGTTCATTGGTGGATATTTGGATTGTTTCCACGTTTTTGCTATTATGAACATTTGTGTACAACTTTTTGTGCAGATGTATATTTTCATCTCTCTTGGGCCTGTACCTAGCAGTGGAATTGCAGGACCGTTTGGTAATTGTATGTTAACTTTTTGAGGATCTGCCAGGCTGCAGTCCACAGCAGCTGCACCATTTTACATTTCCACCAGCAATGTGTGAGGTTTCCAGTTTTTCCATATCTTTGCCAGACTTGTTATTTTCCCTTTCTTTTGCTTACAGCCATCCTAGTGGGTGTGGGGTGCTGTCTCATTGTGGTTTTGTCTTGCATTTCCCTGATGTCTACTGATGTTGGAGCACCTTTTCACGTGCTTGTTGGCCATTTTGTTTATATTCTTTGGAGAAATGTCTGTTCAAGTCCTTCGTCCATTTTTTAATTGGGTTGTTTGTCTTTTTATTGTTGATTTATAGGAGTTCTTTATATGTTCTGGATACTAGACCCTTCTCAGCTATAAGATTTGAAAATATTTTCTCCTGCTGTATGGGTTGTCTTTTCGCTTGATAGTGTCCTTTGATGCACAAATGTTTTAATTTTGATGAAGTCCAGTTTATTTTTTTATTTTGTTGCTTGTGCTTTTGGTGACATGTTCCCATTGCCAACAAGGTGGTGAAGATTTATCCCTTTGTGTTCTTCTGAGAGTTGTAGTTTTACTTCTTATGTTTAGGTCTCTGATCTGTTTTGAGTTAATTTTTGTGCATGATGTCAGGTCAGGATCCAACTTCATTCTTTTCCTGTGGATTCCATCTGTCCCAGCACCATTTGTTGAAAAACTTATCCTTTCTCCAATGAATGATCTTTGTACCCTTGTCAAAAATCGGCTGAGCACATATGCAAGAGTTTCCTTCTGGAGTCTTCTGTTCCATTGGTCTATATTGTCTATCCTTATGCCAGTACCACACTATTTTGATCACTGTAGCCTCATACTAAGTTTTGAAATCGATAATTTGAGTCTTCCTGCTTGTTCTTTTTCCCTATTATTTTAGCTATTCTGGGTCCCTTGCAATTCCTTAGGAATTTCCATTTCTGCAGAAAAAAAGCCATTGGAATTTTGATGAGGGTTGCATTGAATCTCCAGTTAATTATCTTTTAAAGGGACTTAATAAGAAAAACAAGCCATTTACCCACATGGTTACCATTTCTGGTGCTTTTCGCTTCTTGTAAATCTAGATTTACATCTGGCGTCATTTTTCTTCTGCCTGAAGGATTTTATTTAACACTTGGTGATGTAGGTCTACTGGTGATAAACTCGCTCAGCTTTTGTATGTCCAATGTCTTTACTCCACTTCCATTTGTGAACAGTTTTCACTGGGCATAGGGCTGTGGTTAATGGGTTTTTTGTTTTGTTTTTTCAAGATGTTGCTCCAGTGTCTCCGGGCTTGTCAGAGGAGCCTGCTGTCGTCCTGGTGTTTGCTGCTCCATAAGTGCTGTCTCCCTTTTCCTCTGGCTGATTTTAGTCTTTTCTCTCCATCACTGGTTTTAAACAATTTTGTGATGTACCTTGGTGTGGTTTTCTTCATATTTCTTGTGTTTGGGAGTTGACAAGCTGCTTGTGTTTGTGGATTGATAGTTTCCACCAAATCTGGAAAATTTTCAGCCATTATTTCTTCAAGTGTGTTTTTGTTTTGTTTTGTTTTTTTGTGAGGAGGATCAGCCCTGATCTAACATCTGATGCCAATCCTCCTCTTTTTTTTTTTTTCCTGAGGAAGCTTGGCCCTGAGCTAACATCCGTGCCCATCTTCCTCCACTTTATATGGGACGCCGCCACAGCATGGCCTGCCAAGCGGTGCGTTGGTGCGCGCCCGGGATCCAAACCAGCGAACCCCAGGCTGCCGCAGCGTAACACACGCACCTAACCGCTTGCGCCACCAGGCCGGCCCCCTTCAGGTGTTTTTTATGTGCTCACTTCTTTCTCTCCTCCGGGACACTCGTTACCCGTGTGTTGGACTCCTTGAAGTTGTCCCCCAGCTCACTCACTCTGTTTGGTTTTGCAGCCTTCTCTTCTCTGAGTGTTTCACTTTGGGTAGACTTAACTGCTGTTTTTTCAAGTTACTTACCTTTTCTTCTGCCTGTGTCCTCTGCTGTTAGTCCCTTCCAGTGCCTTTTCATCTCACACGCTGTGACTCTGTGTTCTGTGTCTTCCAGTGGCTGCTCGGCCTGCCTCCTGAGCCTGTGGAACTCAGTCCTGCCCTGTCTCGTGGCTGTGACTCGGTCAGTCTGAGCTCCCCTCGTCCTCGTGGACCGGCTTCCCTGCCCCTTTGGGGGCCAGGTCCTCTCTGATTGGGTGCCAGCCTCTGATTCCGCCGTGTTGGGAGAGGGTGCTGTTACTCCTGTGTGTGTCCTCCGCTTTACTCTGGGATACAGTTTGATCCTTTCAGGTTTTGCCCTTTAGCTTCGTTGGTCAGGACCAGAGAGCACTTGCCCGGCTCTGTGGTGGCCAGGCCCCACAAGTGCTCCCCTCTAGCTGGTGGAACAAGCACTGCATTCTGCCTGTGCAGGTGACGGACTGTTCCCTCTGTCTCTCTGGGTGCTCCTTCCCCAGCTCCCATGGCTTCCCTGCAGGCTGCACTGACCGTCCATCCCCTGCGAAGACTCGGGGCCCCTCTGCCCGCAGGTCTGCCTCCTTCGCCACCTTGTCCACCGTCTTCCAGCACCATCCCCCCCGCTCAGGCCTTCTGGGCCGCCTCCGCCTCTGCACCATAGCCAGAGTTCCTTCTGCGGGAGTGGGGGCCGTCGTGGAGCCCCCTGTGCCCTGCCTTATATTACCTGGTGTCCAATAACTTGAACACCGTTGCTTAGCCACGTAAACTTCCCAGTTATTGTTAGTTTTCCCCACAGCCGATAGATCCAGTCCCTATGACTGTCTCGTCTTGGTGGGAGATGCAAGTCCCCACCTCCATTGTCTTTGAAAAACTGCTTGGAGCTCGTGGCCAGGCTGGGAGCTGGACAGAGGTGAAGATTCAGGTGAGGCCAGCAGGCCGGGACGTGGGGGGTGGGGGGAGTGGCGTGACATGTAGCCGTCCCGCCTTGGGACAGCCTCCGATGGTGACGTGATGCCTCATGAGGTGTTGGTGCTCCGGTTTGAGGTTCACAAGCGCGTTCTGCTCTGTCGGCCAGGTTTGGCTTGTCTGGAGGTTTGGAGAGAGACCCATGAGCTGGCCGATGCTTTGCAGTGCACTTGACCTGTGGGTCGGGCCCTGCCTGTGCTTCCGGCAGGTTCTGGCATGCCCGGGGCTTGTGTGCAGCCAGGGGTTGGGGCTGCCACCTGGGATGGGGCAGGTCCTGCATAGACGTGGATTTGTGCTTTGGTCTTTCCCTTGGACCAGTGTGGAGAAGGAGGGCAGAAACCACAGAGCTGAGCTGGCGGTTTGAGGAGAACCCGGTGTCTGCACAGACAGGCTGTGTCGGCTGCGCAGACAGATGGGCAGGACGCGCCCTGGGGGAGCATTTACCCTGACCATACCCTCCTTCATTTAGCCAGGTCGTCACTGGCAGATAAACAAGTGGCTTTCTACGTTTTGATTTTTTATATTGGAAGCAGTCCTGCTCAGTAACATCCTTGTACGTAGCTTTGCATGTTTCCCCGCTGTTTTCTTGGACTGAATTCGTAGTCTTCGTATTAAATAGTAAAAGTTCTTATTTCTCTCAAGAAATGAAGGCATCCATTTCCTTGCTCTTCAGTGCCCTCTCTCGATTTTATTTGCCTTCCCTGAGCCAGGAGCCCTGTAAAGAGACAGAGTCTCCCCCAGAGGTCTGCTTGGCAGCCGGTGGGAAGGGGGCCACTGGAGAGGACACAGAGGACAGGCCTGTGGGGGTCCCATCCTGGCTACTGGGATAGGTGTGGGGTGGGAGGGAAGGAGAAGCAAAGACGCCTTCTGGGGGCCTGGGCCCTCCCCTTGGGGGACACGACCCGATGGGAGGCCCCAGCTGGGACCTGGGGGGTGGACTGGGGCAAGCCGGCACCATTTCTGGTTGCTGTCACCCATGGGGCTCCTCCCCGAGCTCCAAAGCCCTTGCTGGGTCTGGGGATGGCGGCGTCCTCTCCTCTCTGTCTGGCACTTTCAGGCCCTGGGCAGGCGGGTGGGGTCCCCTGACTTGGGCGTGTCATGGCCCGTCAGCCAGTTCTGAATGTCCCAGTTCATGCTCCTGTCCCCTCACTTGGGCTGGGCCTGAATGAGTGAACAGAAGTATCAGGGTCAGGCAGTGGGAGGGCGCCTCCCTGAGCCTCGGTTTCCCCATCTGGAGTGGGCCTCAGACCCACGTTGGTCCTGGGGGCTTCCCTGCCCGGGCCTCAGGACAGGGGCTGGTTCCCCAGAGGGGCTGTGCTGCAGAGATGTGGGCCGGGCCTCCTGTCCCTGCGTCCCGCCAAAGGGGTTCCACCCTTGCCTCACCCAGTCTCCCGGCCGGTCCTTGGCCCACCAGGCCCTGCTTAGTCCCGCCCAGGCCCCCAGACCCTCCCCACCCCATCTGTAGTCCCCTCTACCCCTCCTGAGCCCCGTCCAGCTCCTCCCGCGACGGCCACGGGGCTGGTGCCAGGCTCTCTCTCACGAGCATCTCGTCTCTGCCAGGCCTTCGGACAGGCACACACCAACCACAAGAAGGTGGCCGCGGACGGCGAGAGCCGGGAGGAGAGTCTGATCCAGGAGTCGGCCTCTAAGGAGCAGTACTACGTGCGCAAGGTGCTGGAGCTGCAGACAGAGCTGAAGCAGCTGCGCAACGTGCTCACCAACACACAGTCGGAGAGCGAGCGCCTGGCCTCGGTGGCGCAGGAGCTGAAGGAGGCACGCAGCGGGCCTGGGCGGGGGCTGGGCGGGGGTGTGTGCGGCTGAGAGTGGGGCGGGGCCTCACCACCCGTCGTCCACCTGCCCAGCACAGCCTCACGTGGTGTGGAGGGCCCAGGTGGCGGGGGCCCAGCTCGCGCTGGGTCCCAGGGGCAGCCTGCTGCTCGTCTGGAAAACAGGACTGCAGTGTCTGCCTGCTAGCTCCTGACCTCAGAGCCAGAAGGGGCCGCCAGGAATGGCGCTGGGGCCAGCTCAGCCCCTGACTGGGGCCTGGCTGTGCGAGGCTTGGCCAGACGGAGAGGGGAGGGCAGGTGATCGGTGCCCTCCGAGGGAGGTGGAAGGGTGGACTGCCGTCCCCAAGACGGGGTGGGACAGCCACAGGGTCAGCAGGCGTAGCCGGAAGTCCACGAGTGCAGTCCTGGCCGTGGCCTTGGGACCCTGGTCCTCGGAGGTCCTGGGTTCTCATCAGGAAGGGCAAGGGGCCTTGTTCTGGGCGGTGGGGAGACCCACTGTCTACCTCTGTTCTCTTGGGGGGCAGTGACAGGTGATCAGACGGGTAGACGGTTCTGAACGGTGGGCAGCTCTGAGGTCGCCACCTTAGGCGGGAGGGTGTGTGGTCCTGGTCCCACAGGGCTGGGAGGGGATACTGGTGAGGTTTGGGGCAGAGCCTCAGGGCCGGCAGCAGCAGGACACACACATGCACGCGTGCGCATGCACACACATGCACACACACCAGGTTTGGGGTCAGCCTGTGGCCTTAGAGGAGCTTGGCTTGGTTCCGGGTGGTAGACAGCCCTCAGAGGCCTGGAGCCGGAGTGCGTGATCTTGTTTCCTCCCATGGGATCGCTCTGGTCAGGGCGGGCAGGAGAGGCCGTTGGTGCTGCCGGCCAGGCCCCCTTTTCCAGAAAAGCCGGTACAGGCACTCTGCCCAGCCTGGGCGCGTTCCACCCCATCCCTCTTGTGGGAGGGCCTGTGCCAGGCTGTCAGGAGAGCGCCAGGGACCTGCTGACTCCTGGTTTGGGCATCCGGAAATGAGCTCAGCCTGTCCCACACGCCGTGAGAGAAGAGCAGGTCTGGTGGGGCCAGGGTTCCTGCTGGTCTTGTCAGTGCGGCAGGAGGAAGCCTGCCACTCCCCGCCCCACCAGTGCGGCGCCACCTGTCCCCTTGGGGGTCACTGTGGGATGGGCCGCGTGGAGCCATCCCGGGTTCCTGGTTGGGGTGAAGGTGCCCCACTGTCACCTGCTTGGACCAGAGCCCTAGTCAGTGACCCCACCATCACCAGCTCCGTTTGTCCCTGTTGCTCTTCTGCCGGTCCTGGCCCTGGCACTTCTGCCTGAGCTGCCCAGCTCCTCCGTGGCCTCTGGCCTGGCTGTCTCCCCACCATGAGGCTCATGCCCGAGGCTCCAGCCTGGCTGAGGAGCTTGGACCACATGGACATGATGCCAGGCACTGTCCTCGACAAGTACCAGCCCATGCCTGCCTTGGAGTGACCCGGCCACGCAGGCCATGCGGGGTTGCGTCAGGAGACGCCCCTTCCATGAGGAAGGTGTTTGCGTCCCGGGGCCCAGTCCTGCCACCATCCACGGTCAGTGACTGATGTGCTCTGCAGTGCTGTGCCCTCTGACCCACTGGTGTCCTTCTCTATGACGACCAGCTCAGGTGTTCATCCCCCCATGCCCACCTCTCCAGGTAGACCCTTTGTCATGTGGCCCCTGTAACAAACATGCTCAGCATGTGGGACAGTTCTGGCTGCCCCGTAACATCCCCTCGGTGACCCTGTGGACATCCGGTTGCTTCCCTCATCTCACAGGTGGGGAAACAAAAGTGCAGGAGGTTTTGCCATGTTCCTGAGGTCACTGGGCCAGTAGCTCTGGGGTCCTGACCTCTGACTTCTGCATTGTGTGTGGACAAGCCTGGCCAGCTTCTGTCCTGGACGTGGCCTTGGGCCCCATTTTGCAGATGGAGAAGTGGAGTCCCAGGGAGCCAGCTGGAGGCAGTCAGATTAGGAAGAACAGGCTCCACCAGGACAGGGTGATTGGTCCGCTGTGACTCCGCCCTTGCTGTCCTGGTGGACCCTGCCCTCCCTGTCTTGGGAGACCCTGCCCTCCGTGTCCGGGGGGATCCAGTCCTCCCCGTCCTGGGGGACCCTGGCCCCATGTCCTGGGGGACCCTGGCCCCATGTCCTGGTGGGTCCTGGTCTTGCTGTCCAGATGGAGCCTGTGTGCCTCAGGCCCTCTACAGGCCCAGGTGTGAGTGACGGAGATGTCACAGGAGAAGTTCCCTCCCTCGCCCAGCCCAGGAGCCAGGAAAGGGCTTGTTTCCTGCCTGGTGGCATCTGGGCTACCAGGAGCCTGCTGGGAGGAGGCTGAGTGTCTGGTGTCCACTGAGGCAGCTGGTGGGTCCAGAGCAGCAGTGCCCGGCAAGCTCTGCGCGTGGGGTGGATGAGCTGGGGCAAGACACCCGGGTTTGGAGCTGGGGGAGGGAGAGGCAGGGACTGTCACATGGGTGGACAGCCTGGAGGCAAGAGGAGGAGACCCAGGTGTCTAGAGGAGGCAGCAGGGATGGGGTCCCGCAGTGGGAAGAGGAGCTGGGGGGGTCCTGGATGGGTCCCAAGGTAACGGACCCCACTGGAAGCACATGTTTCTCCTGGGGAGCAGGGCCGGACCTGACTCACTCGGGGGGACATCCAGCATCCCCCAGGAGATCAGGGGAGTCAGCGAGGGAGGGACCGCAGGAGGCAGGGTGGACACCCCTGCCTGGGCAGCCTGCACAGGGTGAGCTCACTTCACCACCTGCCTCTGAAATTACACATGAGAAACACTCACTGCCCTGGCACATTTGGGGTTCCCCAGACCCTCAGGATCCCCAGGAGAAGGTTCCCCCCGTCCTGCTCCCTCTTAGACCTGGCCTGCGCCCACAGTTGCAGCCATGGGCACCAGGGCTTCCTAGGAGCTGAATTCTAGTTTATTACATTCACCTAATTTTAATGACGTGTGACCAGTCCTGCATGCCTCATGCCTGCAGTTTGCACACAGCTGAGCTCTGGAACCTTCCACTGCCCTGCAGAATCTGCACTGCCTGGCCCATCCCGGGACTCTGGTCAGACCAGCTTCAGCGTCTGTCTTGGGGCAGAGGGTCCATCCTGGGCAGACACCTCCCTGAACCCAGTGGAAGAAGGGTGACGGGAGGTGCAGCGGGGCCCAGGCCCACGGGGCCAAGAGGAGAGAGCCCCCACCCATGGGATCGCTGCCCCTGCCGCACATCACTGTGCCATCTGACTTGAGTGGTCGTCGCTGGTCCCCAGGTTCCCTCCCCTGACGCGCTCTCCTGTCCCTTGTCTCCTTGCTCCCTGCTCCCCCTGCCACAGTCCCTGTGGCCACAGCCCAGGCTGCAGGACTCCATGACCCAGAGTGTCACATTGCTGCTCCAGAACATTCCGGGCAGGGAGTCCCCCCACTATGGGCCTTGGTCCCTCTGGGGGTGGACTGGCAGAGTGGACGGAGGCCTGGCTGGAAGGACAAGGGCCTGACTTGGCCTGGGTCCTGCCCCCGTGACCTGCCGGGACCTCCTGACCTAGAGCCACTTGTCTGTGGTCTGAGGACAGCCGTCCCCTCTGGTGTGAGTCCCATCTGCATGTTCCTCCGTGGGCCTCTGCATGGTTTCCTGTCGAAGGGAAGTGTCTGCCCCACACCCCTCAGGGCTCCAGGAGGGCCGAGGCGTGAGTGTGCTGGGTGGACGGGGTCGGCGCTCTGAGAGGCACATGAGAGGGCGATTGACCCCGTCAGGTGCCTGCTGGGCCCCCAAGGCTGGCACTGTAGTCACCTCATTCTGAGGTCCCGGGGTCCCACAGAAGGGGGAGCTGAGATGGGACCCCATGCACCCACCTTCTCCGTCTGGCCTGTGCCCTCTTGGCAGGCCTCCTGTGTCTGCTGTCGCTGCCCATCATCAGGGCTATGTCGACAGGCTCACCTAGGGAAACCAAACCCCACGAGGGCCAGTCAGAGCTTGCCTGAGCGCTTGGTGGTTGGGCGGGTGCTGGGCATGTGCCCCGCCTGTGGTGAGGGGTGGACGCTCCGTCGTCATGGCAACCACACACGGTGTTTGGGTCCTGCAGTATCAGCGACGGCGCCCTCACCCCTCACCTGCCGCGTCTTGTCCCAGGGCAGCTTGTGACCAGGGTGCCTCACCTCACTGCCCTCAGGGGGTCCTGCACGCCCTCTGTCAGCCCCGGTGCCTACGACAGGAGCCTGTGCTCAGGACCTGGCGATGGGGCGAGGCAGGACAGGACTCCTGGGGCTCTGGAGACCCCACGGGCCCCACCAAGGGCACATTCGCCCTGTCCTGAGTTGGGGAGGTCGAGTCTGCCTCAGCCACAGGGAAGCTGCGCAAGTCTGTCTTTTCGCAGCCTGGAGGGCCTTCCGGGTCTGCTGGTCTTGATGCGCACAGCTGTGGGGAGCTTGTGGTTTCAGAGCCTCCCCCCGGCCTTCCGCCTTGCCAGGTGGCTGTGTCGGGGCATGCGCATGCGTTTGAGCACCTCCTGCACTCCAAGCCATGTGACTTAGGGAGGAGGTGGCCAGGCGTCCCTGGCAGAGGGTGAGCAAGCCCCCGCGTGTGCGTTCACGGAGAGCGCAGAGGCTCCCTGTGGGGCAGCAGGAGGCGGTGGGGTAGGGGCTCAGCAGGCAAGGAGGGACTCTCGGCACAGCATGCTGGGAGCAGTGGGAGCCAGTGAGGGGCGGGACAAGACAGACAGAGAGCAAAGCTACTTATGTGAGCATCTCCCGGTTGACTGGAGGTGGGAGGAGTAGTTGGGCAGACTGGCTGGTGAGGGCCGCCTCTGTGACCTGTAGCAGGGCCAGATGCTGTGTCGGTTGGGTGCACACAAAGGTCGCAGCTTCCCCACCAGGTACCGTCACTGCTGTCTTCAGAGCAGAGCGGAGGCCCTGCCAGGTGAGCCGAGGTGTGGCGACCAGGCTGGGTGTTTGCTTCCCAGGCACCCTGCC